AGAATTGGGGGTATTCTGCACACCTCCTCCTCATCCAGAATTGCCTTCCCAATTAATGAGACAATTCTAGATCCTACCAACTCCATCGTTGTGGATGTGGTTAATGCCTGAACAACATAATGCCAATTTAGCCCCACACAATCTGGTTTGGCAAGATGTAGTAGTTGTTGCTGACATAACTGTTTAGCATTGTAAATTAACAAACTGGGGGTATTCTGCACACCTCCTCCTCATCCAGAATTGCCTTCCCAATTAATGAGACAATTCTAGATCCTACCAACTCCATCGTTGTGGATGTGGTTAATGCCTGAACAACATAATGCCAATTTAGCCCCACACAATCTGGTTTGGCAAGATGTAGTAGTTGTTGCTGACATAACTGTTTAGCATTGTAAATTAACAAACTGTTATGATTTTATTAATTATGGGAACTAAGAGTGTTTTTGGAACATTTACTGGAGACACAAATGTAACAATTTCAGGCCATCCTTAAAGAGGATCAGTTGATAACCAGATTGGTGCTAGTGACAGCACTACATGTAGCTGATAAAGTGATCTGATTGCTTTTCATGACAGTGGTACTGAGGCGGGCTTCTTGACTACATCTTTCTGGATTGCCCAAATTGTTGCAGAAGACAAACGCTTTCACAGAGAAGACGGTTTCTTCTCCCCAGTCTAGATTCCCAGACCACATTATGCTCCTAAGGAATCTACTCTTCAGGGCAAAAAGATGACCTACCTCTCAGCCAGACAATACCTACCATCTCAGCACTGTTACAAGCCATAGGGTTCAAAAGAGGAAGCAACCTGCACTGCAATCCACTATTTCTCAAGCCACCTCTTCTAAGCACTTTTCATGGAGCAGTCAAGAGCCTGGTATCTTTCAATGTCAGCTGTCATTCATATACCTGGCATGCCCCTTTGAAGTCACTTGGCCCTGTTTCCCAGCAACTGTATCACCTCTGACAGATAGGTCCTGGGGATTATTTTGAAAAGTTACACCATTCAATTCATGTCCCTTTTCCATTATAAACTTTCTTCTCTGTCCCCCATCAGGGACCCCTCTCATAGGAACTTACTTCATCAGGAAATATATCATTTGTTACTCCATTGACACAGTCCTGCTGCAACTCAGGAGTAAGGGAGTTTACAAAATGAAGGGAGGTTGAATTCTCATTCTAGATCTAAGAGCATTCAACTAATATGGAAGATACAGATGTTCAAGATGGTCATGGTCGCAGCTAAAGATTTCCTACACTTTACTTCTGGGCAGGATCATAATCAATACAGAATGTTCCACCCAGGTTATTCATCACAGTTCTTCTCATTGAATTGGAGCACTAACCCCAGTACAGCAACTGAAGTTTTCGGCACCACCCTCAATGAAGTACAAAGAGTCACCACATTAGGACAGATGCCTTCCTAATATGCTGAAGAGTTCACCTACACAACCATGAGGTTCAGGGCAAATAGCTTTCCATAGAAGTTATCATTGCACTCTTTTGGAGCCAAGTATTGTCAGGAACGCCTGTATGCACTTTCTGCCTTTCATCAAAAACACCCATGTGAAGATCATGATGGACTTAAAATGACCTCTGTGTTTTACATAAATCACCAAGAGGGTGCCAGATCACTCTTGCTCTTCAAGGAAGCACTGAGACTGTGGAAATGGTGCATCCCTCATTATATACGCATCCCAGCTATCTGTCTACCAGGAATATAGAACATGACAATCAACAATTTCAGATGGAATTTCTGTCAGGACCCTGAATGTGAATTGAATTCAGAGGTGCTTTGACATATATTTGC